CGGGGACCGCCAACGCTAGGAAAAAAAAAAAGTGCGGGCCCGGAATACATGCAGCCACAAAACCAAGAAGAGCTACATATCGCCAACCACAGGAGAGAGAACACCAACGAAACGACAGACAAAAATGCTGATAGTAAGATGAACAGAGGTATTGAATCGCATGCCATGAAGTCTCGGTTACAATCTAGAAGCAGCAAGACATCAAACTCCGCAGACCAGGTGCACTGCAAGAAAATGAAACGCTAATCCTAAACGCGCGAAACCTAAACCATACAACTAAAACCCCAAAACCACTTAGCCCTGTGTGTCTCGCGATGGCCGGGAAGCGAGACTCTTTCTCTTCACTGCCGATGCGATCAGGCTGTCCATTGGCGATCCTAAACTCAAAGCAGATTTTTAGACTGATTTTCGGGGTTTAAGGATGTTTAGGGTTTCTGCTTGATGTGGTCAGGTTTTGAATGCATGGGGTGCTACGGTTGGGCTTTCGAACTTGCGGCTTAACGGTTCAGGCTAGATACAGGTTCATGATCCCAGCTGGTTTTGGAATCCTCTGGGAACCTTGGGTTTGATTCAAATTGTTGAAGTCTTGAACTTGTTTGGCGGCTCCGGTGTGAAACATCGAGGCCCCCACATCTCGTGCGAAAAACGAACTCAAACCCTGGACATAACCACAGCCTCAACTCGCAAAGCTCTGCAGAAAAATGCGAACTCCCAACCCCAAAGCTCGCAACTCTTCAACATGCAAACTCCTCCACCGGTTAAGGAAAGCCCAGGCTCCAAATGTGGAGGAAGCCAAACTCCCCGCGGGAGATACCGGTGCTGGCCTTTAGGGCTTAGGATACACGACATCTAGGGGTGTCAAACGTGTTCCTTAGGGTTTGTTTAAGGATGTTCCTTGTGGTTTATTGGGACTTATAGGCATAAGGCATAGGGGTTTTCAAGGGGTTTCATCAGAGGATCTGCAAGGGCCGGGGCCGCTAAAATGCAGATGCTTTTCTTGGTTGACGACTTCTCCTGGGCCCGGTCAGCTCCAAATCTCCCAACGGCCGATGTTGTGTGTGTGGGCGTCTGGGGATCTGAATCGGGAAATTCTCCGCTACAGTATTCGGTCTGAGGAATCATTTGGCATCTAGCTTGGAAGAATCACGATCCAGTGCAACCCCGAAGCAGATCCATCATCACGGGAGGGGTCGGGGCCTACCAAATCAAGCTATGCCTGGCGATACAAGCCTAGATTTAAGGCCTATCCCATGCCTAGGGCGCTGCAGAATTGATCTGGGCGACCTGGCCTTTTGCTTACGAGGGCAATTCCCAAACCCTCACCCCTTTATTTAAAGCAAGCACCGAAATCTAGCTACCTTGAATCGCAACCCCGTTAGCCGAGATCTCAAACTCTAGACCCGATGCCATGGAATGCAAATCCTAAGCGTCCTAATGCTAAGGCTTAGGAAGTTTAGGGCATAGGCCCAAAACTCTTGACCCGAGTCCCTGCATCTGTGCGCGACCCCATGGCGACGACAAGCCTTCTCTGTAGCCAGCTCTGAAAAGAGGTGAGATGCATTGCCTGCCAGCACACAGTCTAAACCTTCGAGTTTGCTCGGCCCATATAAGCCCCCGAAAACCTGAACACGGCTTTGAGGCAATGGGGCCAATGCGAAGAAAAACAAGGAGAACGGAGGTTATTCTTGTCATTGTGAACCTAATACCGAGGGAACAATCCCCGAACGTTGGCACGATGAATTATACACTGTTATGCACAAGTATTAACTTTTTCTGTGTTACAGAAGAGAAACAGAAAGAGAGAGAGAGAGAGACAGAGAGAGAGGGAGAACGAGAGAGAGAGAGAGAGAGACAGAGAGAGAGAGAGAGGAACAAGAGAGGAACGGAGAGAAAGAGAGAGAGAGAGAGAGATTGAAAAAACAAAAACAAACATGCAGATTCGTAATGCCAATGGTGTTTCAGAAGACGCTCCACAAATCGCAGAAGATCGGCCACGGAAGCCGAGCTCCCGCGTGGCGGCAATGAAGTCCTGCTCCGAGATCCTGCACACACCGGGCACAGGATTGCTTACAGTTAGATGCTTGGGGGTTTGGAGGGTTATTTAGGTTGAGGTTTGACACAATGAGCAGAGTTTAGCGGGTTGAAGTTTAGTCTGCGCGGGCTCGACATTCATGAACTCTCGCGAGTTCTAGGGCTGAGTTGAGACGGGACGGAGCGAGCCTACGCTTATACGGTTTCACAGTAAGTTGTGCAGCTATTCCTTCGGGTTGCCTAATGTGTGTAACCCCAAAACCCTGTCTTAAAGATCAGGCCCCCCGTTTTACATGGCATGGCATCATACATGATGTAGAATTCGGTTGAACCATGTAGAATGCATAGGGCCATGCGAAGTCTGTCAACCACTCTGCATCCATAGAGGTGCTGATGAACATGTTATCACGTTTGTCAGTGTTCTTGCTATGACGATACTGCTGACTAATGGCGGTATCCTTGGTGCGGGTGATGTGCCGGCCCATAAATGCCAACGGTCATCTGTTTATGTTCCCGGGGTTGGCCCTTTAGCTTTACATACATTTTCTTCCGCGCCTCTTTTGCATTGCTTCCGCGCTCTTTCGCGCAACGAAATAATCTATGGAAGCTTTACAATGACTCTTCTACTAAGCAGTTTAAGACACAGCTCTAGAATTCTAGAATGGTTCAGAAGGGTCCATATTCAGATCAGAGCTACACGGGGGCCCAAGGAAGTACATGAAGGTTTTGCATAAAGCTTATAAATTATATGTTCGAACCCAGTTTTTTACCTAACAGAGATCGGTTTTAGGGCAACCCCATATGAACTCAAGAGCAGCCTTGCGTAAAGCATGCGAACTTGCTGAACCAACCTCGTGCACCCCTTTGCAATGGCAGCGTACGCTCTAAACCAAATTTTTAAACCGCTGATCCAGGCTTTGTGTTTAGCGGCTTGGCCCAGCAAAGACTCAATCCCATGTGTTGCAATTCGTCGCTGCAGCTTTTGAATGAGAATTCAAGGGCTCCAACACGCGACCCCAAAGGGGAGACGCCCAAAAACTTCAAACCGCGCTAAATCCGGCAGAAAGACACGGCCTCAGCTTGCCTTTCGTGTTGAAGCATTTCACCCATGCCTGTGCCGAACTGGAAGTCAGCTTCGCGGCTAATTGTCCGGGAGAGCCCATTAAGCTCCGAGAAGGCGGATCTATAGGGAAAGGGCGCCTACAAGGATCGCCGTCACTCTTGTATACTCCATTCTACTTCCAAGAACAGGAAGAAAGCAGCGAGAACTTGAGAATGAGCCTAAACCCTGGCCCCTTCTGGGGATTGGAGGACAAGGTCAACCCCAACCCCGACAACCCTAAACTCTTGTGTATCGTCACTTTTTGAGGAGGGAGTTTTCGGTGCCCTGACATATGTACGATTGTCAGCAAAATCACGGCTGAACCCGGAAACCCGTGGTGCATAACTAGCATGCAGCGGGCCAGTTTCTTAAGGTTGCCTTCCTTGCCGCTGTTACAAAAAGCTGAGGGTGGCTGATGCCGAACTCGAGGAACTTATGCTGTGGCCTTCTCCACTGTGCCGAAGACGGACCAAATCGTGACAGACCTTTCGTTGGGGACAGACCTTTCGTTGGGGAGACCGGACTTGTTTTATTTCAGGGTCATGAAGGAGACTTCTACAATTTCACAGGAAGTGCCTCGAGTAAGGGGTACTAGAGTCTCCCTCGCCTGTCCTGCGTTTGTAGGCGATCTGAAGGTCTATAATGTCTATAATACTACACCACCTCAGAGTCTACCGACTCCCCAAGGACTTGCTTCCCTGAGGAGATGGAATGCAAAACTGTCAGAAATGTATGAAGGCAGCCAATTATGAACGAACTCCGAAGGTGTAAAGGCCTGATTGGATATGGCAGAAATAAGCAGACAGGCGAAACGGGTTGCCTTCTGGACTCGATCTTGGCAACTACAGAGATAAGTGCTTGGAGTTTCGCAGAGATCGGACCACGTGGCGTTCTCAGGTACAGCTCCTTGCTGGGCCATTGGTGTAAGACTTTCGGTGTTCGGTTTTGGCCCAATTCTGTGTCGACAGAAATTGTTGCAACGGGACGATGCCTTCATCCAAAACTTTGGTTGAACGATCCAAGAAAGAACTAAATCCCAAACCTGCAGACCACGTTCATGGAACGTTTTCACACCATTACACACTACATTCCGAGCCCTGCAAGCAATACCCTAGACCTTAATTAAGGGAGAGCGGCAGTGCCTTGAAGACGCAGCCCTACAAGGGCCTTGCTGCTGCGGAGCGACAGGCTCGTCATCATCTCTGCCAGTGGTGGATCTATCTCCGCCAGCCTCAAACGTTCAGGCTTGTCGGGGCTTGGGGCTTCGGGCTGATAAGGCTGGTAAAGTAAAGCCTAACATACCCGGGCCCGGCCAAACGTAGGTGATGACAGTGCTCGCATTGTTCTCGCTGAGTCGTGCGGGCTCGATGGCTGAAAGACTCCACATATAAAAAACAGTTTCAAACCCCGAAAGGAGCAGGATCCATCCTAACCAGGTTGCTCTGGGAACCTTGGGCCACGATTTTGCTGTTAAAAGCCGAGGGGCGAGATGAAGCCAGATCGATCTAAGTCTAATGCGCCAAACAGGCGCCGGGCGCCTGCGGTAGGGCAGCTACAAGTAACATGAAGGATCCTCGCAGAAAAAACGCTCGTTTGCATGGCTCCGCGTTTATCTCCAACTACCCATCAGTTTTTGAACATTGTTCTAGCAAGGACCACGAAAGAGTGCATCAATAAATTGCAAATTATCTTAACTTGAAAGCTCGGGGCCGCAGGGTGGCGCTACTACTACTGCTGCTGCTGCTGCTGCTGCTAATGCTACTGCTACTGCTTCTGCTACCTACTACTACGACTACGACTACGACTACGACTACGACTACGACTACGACTACGACTACGACTACTACTACTACTACTACTACTACTAATACTACGACTACGACTACGACTACGACTACGACTA